GAACGAATCAGTATTTAAAAAATTACTGCAGGAGCAAACACAATTTTAATCCCCCAGGATTCCACCACCCTAACAAATCAGCTGTTTAAAATTTCCCATTCGTCCTCTCTACAGTATTACTCTCAGTGTTATCTCCTTTTCTACATAAGAACTCAAAGTATAGCCATTCCACTAGGCCATGCCTCCAAGTCCAAGATGCTTCTATTTTGCTTTTGCATTTGCATATTTCTCACTCATGCTTTCTTTTTAATTTCGATCGTATTCTATAAGTAGGAGAAAAGATTTAGCTGGAAAAAAACAGAAGGAGGAAGCACCTAAGACTTTGGAATTTTTGGATAATGTTGCTGAGATGTGTGCAAAATCCTAAGAAAAAAATCTACGAAGAAAAAACCTGGCTTTCCACAATGCTTATCCATGTCTTCTGTCATCTTATCCACTCCTGCCTCTCACCCCAGTGCATTTATCTCTATTGAAAACCTTCAGTCCTGGTCTAAATCTCACAAACTGTATATTTGCTTTGATAGACTTAAAGGGAAAAAAAATCCCCACACATATGACATCTCTGTATGTGATAATCACATTAAGGTTATTGGACCTGTTCCCAGGATATGTTTATTCTTGTCTGTGTGATAGATTAGATGTAATTTTCTTTTTTAAACAGCCAAGTGCAATTAAGAGGTCTGTGATGATGATCACAGGTACAGCTCAGATAGATATAAATCCTGTGAGTAAATCCCACCACCCTGCAAATCTCACACATGATAGAGGGAACAGACAGGGCCCTTCCCCGGGGCCTTCACTGTGCCAGAACTCCCCAAGGATGATGAAAACACATTCCCCGGATGGCACTGCCTAGGGAGGATTTTCTTCTGCTTTGTTGATCATCACCAGGCTCTTAACAAGTTCCTGAGTTTAGATAAAAGTCATTGAAATGTTCCATGAGGTTAACTCTGACCTGACTAAAGCAAGACTTCAGTTAAAAGAAAGAAACATTGCAGCACATTAGGTTCCGGGTAAAAAAAAGATAGCAGATGGGCTCCTGGTGGTTCCAGTAAAACACCCGTTAACTTGGGTCTTCAACCTCCTCCTGGACGGCTCTCCCTGGGTGTCCAATAGTCACCCCATATTCAACGTGTCTAAATTCAAACATCTTATCTTCCTAGTCCGGCCATTGGTAGATGGTACTCTCATTCCTCAAATTTACTTGATCAGAAATTGGGAAATCAACCCCCAAACTCCTCTCTCCGCCCCCAGGGTTAAGAGATCAGTAATTTCTGTTGCTTCTCCAGTAAGCTCCCCCTATCCACAATTCTGCTTTCCATCGTTTCAGTCACCTTTGGTCAACTCCTGTTCAAAAATATTAAATGGAAAATTCCAGAAATAAACAATTTATAAATTTTAAAGAGCATGACTTTCTGAGTAGCATGATGAAATCTTGTGCCATCCAACACCGCCCCGCCCATTCCACACTGTCCCTTTGGGAATGTGAACCATCCTTCTGTCTAGCATATCCATGCTCTATATGTTACCTGCCCCAACGTGACTTAGTAGCCACCTGGGTTATCAGATTGACTGTTGTGGTATTGCAGTGTCTTGTGTTCAAGTAACCCTAATTTCACTTAATGGCAGCTCCAAAGAGCACGAGTAGTGATGCTGCAATCGGGATATGCCAAAGAAAAGCCTTAAAGCACTTTCTTTATATGAAAGGTATGTATTTATAAGAAAAAACATTATATATATATATATCAGTACTATCCGTGGATCGTTTGGTACAATCCACTGGGGGTCTTGGAATGCCTCCCCCATACATAAGGGGGGAGGGGCACTGTATTAAATCGCCACTATTTGACCATTTGTGCCCACAAAATAGCAGCCTTCATAATCTCATTAAAACCTTCAATAGATCCCCACAGCCTTGATAACAAAGTATGTCCTCCTTACACAGAACATACAATGGCCTCATGACCTGGTTCTGCTTCCTTCTGCTTCAAGTCCCACCACTTCCATGCTAGGGGCTGGCATTCTACTTAACTCTTTGTTGGTGCCTGAATAGATAATATTCTTTGGACCATTTTCTGGAATGCTCTTCCTTCTAAATCTCCAAACCCCTCTCAATATTTAAAAATCATCTCAGTTATGAAATGTTCTAGGAAGCTTTCTATATCCACTCTACACACACACACACACACACACACACACACACACACACACCCCTCTGGTCTGAGTTGGAGTCCTGTCCCACAGGTTTATCTCATATCCACAGCAATATCGTATTCAACACACATCCCCTTCCTTCTTACACTCTATGTTTCTTGAATGCAAGTGTTATATCTTATCCATCTCTGTATCCCTAGAGCCAAGCACTGTGCCTGGCATGAAGCGTGTGCTTAATAAATATTTGATTAAGCAGTAAATGAACAAATGCATTACAATGCTACAGAGAGAAATGGGAGTTGTTTGGAAATGATACATATTTATTGAAAAAGTAAACTTTGAAATCAATACACATTTCTGAAGGATGAACAATTGAAATTACTGGTCAAATTTTTCTATCCTAGACACTCATACACCTGTCTCTATTCAACAAAGGATATCCAAGCACTGGACAATGGTTATCTTATTTAAAACCAATACTCAATATACCTAATGCCAAGGACAGTCAAGGTTTGTCTCTTCTAGCTATTTTAGTGGGACCTGCTCTTCTAGGGATAGGTATTTCTAGAGTCATATAGCCTAGTCCCATGATTCTTTATTCATTGTTGGTTGTTTTTTTTAATCCTCTCTAGAGGGTATTTTTTTCCATTGATTTTAGAGAAAGTGGAAGGGACAGGGAGAGGGGGAGAAAGAGAGAGAAACAGATGTGAGAGAGCCATATCAATTGGTTGCTTCCCGAATGACCCCAATGGGGGTGGGGAATCTGCAACCCAGGTACATGCCCTTGACCGGAATCAAACCCAAGACCCTTCAGTTCGCAGGCCGATGCTCCAACCATTGAGCAAAGTTGGCCAGGGCTATGATTCTTTATTCCAATGGTCCCCTATTAACCTTAAAAAATTAATGTACTCCTAATTTACTCTCAAAGAGAGCTCTGGACATTGGAGAAAACAAAGCTCATTAAAAATTAAATGTTTCCAATCTCCTTATATAAACATTTATTTTTAAAATTTCCCCAGCATAAAAATTTCAAGGTGCACACACTGAATAGGTTGGAAATAGAAAAGCATAATGAAGATCCTGCCTTCTAATGCCTCTCTCTGACTCTCATCTTGCCTTGCTCCAGTCTAACTCCCACACAGCATGCCCATTTCCTGCCCATAACACACCATTTTAGTCAAGTCACTGACCTCTCCAAAACTCTCATGATTGTATTGCCCACAAAATTCCATCTAATTTTTTTGGCCTGAAATTCTGGGTTTTCTATACTTCGGTTCCAACTTAAATTTTCCAACTGTTTCATCTACTATGCCTTACTACAAACCATGTTCTTCAGCCAAGTTGGATCTCACTGGCCGTGAACAGCCCACATGCTCTTCACTGTGCCTGTCTCCTG